ATATTGTGCAACTGGACATTATAAAGGGGTCGCACGTAACGTCATAGATCACATGGCAGTCTGATGACGTCACGGGCGACAGCTGACCGACCAGATAATCTGTTTAGTTCCCACATATTTATAAACCTTGACACTGGTGGGCTCTCGGGTGCGTAAACATACACAAAAGAAAGTCCAGGGGTGATCAGTCTATCGTGTCCCAACAAATGAGAAGCTGCAGAGCACAATGAAGGGAGCAGTAATTAACGGGAAAGAATGGAGGTAGGTTGTAAACAGAAACGGCTTTGTAAATACTCACTTCATTAAAGGGAGGAACAATGCAGTAGTTATTCACCAGATAAACAAAGTGAAAAGAATCCCATAGTTATTTAGAGCAATGACTGTCATGGCTAAGATTACCACGGACGTCACCTTGTGTTCTGAAGTAGTAGTTGGTGGTTGAAAAATCTTAGTTGCTGAAGCGCAGGGAAATATTTAAACCGTAGATTAGAAGAAGGTGGATCATGTGAAGGTTAAGAACTCCAACTTTTGTTTTCCCTTAATGATTATACTGATGGTTTGGTAAATTGTGAACTTGTTATTTATTATTATTATTATTATTATTATTATTATTATTATTATTATTATATAAGGTGGAGAGGCTGGAAAATGTATATAAATAAAAATTAGCATTATTATTATTACATAACTGTAGGAGAAATAGGAAACTACATTTCTACTTGAATCTGTTACAAGTCCTGACAAAATTACAACAAACAATAGTTTAACAAAACCTCTGTGTTGAACCCCAAATTTAAAAAAAAAAAAAGACAAAACATGAGATATGAACCCGTCTTTGGCGATACTTTAAGCAATGCCATCATAGGTGTATCGTAGTGTTAGCTTAGTGTGTGGTGTAGATTTTAACGTAGGCATAGTTTTGTGATGTAAGTCTCCAGAACAGCTGTTGAGTGCAGGTCTGTATTGGCCCTAGGAGTTGGCACTCTCCTCATTGTACAGTTCCCCTCACTAGTGTGTTTACAGGGGCTCCTCATATAAAAAATTCGCAAATCATTATCTTTCAAGTTTGTTTTTAATATTGTTTTAATTTGATTATATAGCAAGTTTACTATTGCTAGTTTCCTAATGAGCCCCAGTAAATGCACTAGTGAAGGGGACTGTACATGTACAAGAGCAGCAGTGGAAGGAGGGTTGTTTGGTTTGGTGATGGAAATGAAAGAAAAAAAATGTAATTACTAGTATTTTCTGCTTAATCTCCATATTATGACCCACTTCACCGGCGAATAAATGTCAGTGTTGAACTTAGATTACCATTATTTTACCATTATGTTGTTATTTTAGTTGCTTAAGCCCTCCCAACCCCCTCTCCAACTTGCCTGACAAAGCCTCGTGTACGCCGCTGGTTCATGGTGTTGTACATTAAATCGAGGTCATGGTGTCTATTAATCACACTTGATATTATTCGTCCATATCACTTATTCACAACGTAGAGATTTAGTTTTGTGTGTTGTTATAGACTGATGTACAAGTAGTGAAGCTCTGAACTTGTTATTGTATTAAGATGTGTTGGTGCTTGTTAATACCCGTCACGTCTGCTTCATTGAATTATCTGACAAAAAATTATCTCACTAATGAATTGAATTAAAATTTTCAGTGTTTGTGATTAAAATCCTTGACTTTTCCAGTTATGTATTTTTAATTGAAATTAAAAAAAAAAAAGAGAAAAATGATATTTTTCTTGTCAGTTTTTTTTTTAAGCAGCCGACACTTTTCTTAACAAACACCGGTGTAATTTTTATTTTAAAGGCTACACAAACATTATCAGTGGCTCCCTAGATGTAGGAACTAGACTCTGTTTGTTTACCCTGACCATCCAGTACTTCAAGTTTAAAAACAAAAAACCAAGGGATGGGTTCTGACCACCTTAACCCAAGATGGGGAATAGTGTTCATAATTACTAACCCAGTTTTGAAAAGGGGGGCTGCATATAGTGCTATACTGTATTGGTGATTTTAGGGCTTCAGTTTGAACTCCATTTTCATTGTAAGTTCATTTGTCCGTAAAGAGCGTCAATATAATAGCATAGTGTATTAATTTCCTTTAAATTTGGTTAAGTTGTGAGATACAGTAGCACCCTGGTGTTCATTAAACAAATGTTCAACCCTCTTTTTAAAAGTGGCTTTATGTTGGTCTTTTTTCTTGTGTCGAATTTCCATAAACAGTGATTGGAGGTGCACTGGCAGGTAGTGTGTATTACATAATACTTCACTTGTTGCATTGAAATCCAGGAAAAACGCTTAGCTGTTGTGCGTACAGCAGCTGTAATCACTCATTAGTGTAGCTTAGTGAGAGGGAAATCCTTGTTGAAGAGTCTTTCACGGATAAAGCGCTTGGTTACAAAGTGAAGTTGGCTTGCTGTTGACTATAAACTAATCCCTCTTTTGGAGTTTATGCAGTATTTTACATCATTGTGCATTCATTGCCAATCATAATAGTGAGTCTCTCGTTATCTCCAAAAGTAATCAAGGTTGAACTCATCTCAAATCTTTATGGCTCAGATTTTCTAAGCTTTTGGACCTCCATAGGAAGACTTATAAATATGTAAACATTCCTCCATCATCGGTTGCGTCTCCTCAGTACAGCACAATGATTGAAAATATTATAATATGCATTATCTCATCCCATTCTATAAGAAACTACGGTAATAGTGGAGCAGATGGCTAACTCAAAATCCTAGGTTTACTTTCACTATGCAAACATTTTAGTGGGGGTTGCAAGGGTCTGAAAAGGTGGGGGAGGTAGGCATGTGGGTTGTGTGTGTTAGAGACCTTTCTCAAGTTCCTCAACCGTACCCTAACTTCTTTGTATACATTAAAAAAGTGTATAAATAGTCTGTCAAACATATGGGTCCCAGATTGTGTATGCCACACTGTATATGAAAATAAATCACTGGTGTGTGTAAGCCTTATTACATAAATTACACATTGGTTTTACCATGCCATAGATGCTGTGGTCTATTTTTTTAACAGGAAAAACGTGGTGGTATTTGCTAAATTCTCAAAGGTATAGAGATACAGGTGTGGTTGTATCACAAGGGTGTGGTCCTATCTTCCTAAACCCCCATCCCTAGGTTTATCATTAGGTGGAACTAATTGGTCTTACCCTTACCAAGTTACTGTCTCTATAAGTCAAGTGTGAAGCTCAACCTAGTCATAGCTCTTACATCTGTGGTTTGACGACACAAATAGTTATAATGTGTTTGACATGAGGAATACTAATGTAAAACTTGCTTTTAAGGTAAACATTTAAAAATCTAATCAAACCAACCATAATAGAATTTAAAAAAAAGTTTGGTTAGCTCAGTACAAAAGAAAATTACTTACCTTGAAATAAAGTTATAAGTTCGTATTTTTCTTTGTTGTCGCAGCCAGGGAGCCACTTCCAATTTTTTTATTATACCCTGTACTGTATATAGTTGGGGTGCAGCATAAGTCCATTTACCAAAGACACTGCACATGAAAGGAAAAAAAGTTAATAATACAAAGAAATGTGTTTCTAGAAAAATCGTATTAAGTCGAAGTTTTTTTTTTTATAGAAATAACATTTATGCAGTATCCTTGGTAAAGCTACTTATGCTATGATATTTTCTTGTTTGTTACTCTGTTATGTTTTTGGAGTATTTTAACTCATTGAAGACAGTAGTGGTAATAAATCATTGAATAAATATCTTAAATTTACATACCGTTCAATCAATTTTTATTCAGGGGAAAAAAAATAATCTCAGTTTTATTCAGATCAGTCATTTAAGATAACTGTAGGCTTGAAGTATGTATATACAGTGACATTTAGGAGGTCATAACCACATATTACAGTATATAACTAAATGCTCTATAGATATTATTTACATTGTCAGTAAGTCAACAAAGTAGAACTAACCATTAAAAAGTGTACTGAGACCATAAAAGTGACTGTGGGAACATACTATTGCTGTGGTAGAAGAGGTGCGTCCTCTGGCGAGGGTCATCTCATGGTCATGCAAAATATATAATGCTACAAATAAAGTCACAGGTGACATTTTTTGCACAATAACTATACAAAATACCCGGTAAGTCTCGCCACACAGTATCTACCCAGGAGTGGTTTCAGATATGGTTTCAATAAAGCTGTTGTTTTTTAATATCTTGACCTGAGTATATCCTGTGAGTTGCTCATGGCATGGGAGTACTGAGCTATCATTATAGTGATAATATGCCCCTGTGGGCAGTTTCTACATAGGTATACGTAGTGTGGCTTCTTTTGTTGGTGTGAGGGGGGGGGGGGAGTAGTCCTTTGACCAACATTCAGGGGCAGCTTCTGCTAATTAGCTAACCTAAGTCTAGGATGATGTACATTATGTTGGGGGTGGGGGCAGATGTAGGCTTCTGACGAGGGGGACATCTTAGAATCTGAGTACTTTATTCGCAGGCCTTAAGCAATTTTTTTTACTTCCACAGAACGGATGGTTTTTGGTTCTGAGCATATGGTACATACTGTATCTCGCAATATGTGACATATTTTGCACAACACCGGCACCTCTGTTTAATGCTGTAGCTAACTGGTCAGAAGGTTCACTGGCCCCAAGATTTATTTCTCAGATGTTTAATTGGTATGAGGATCTATGTCTCTGAATATTCTTTAGTCTGAAGGTGTAAGCAGTAACCGAACTTGTAATCACAGGTTGAAGGAATTACTGTACAGTATAAGTGAAAGTATGTTATATAGTTTTCATATAAAGTGCCGCTCTTAACATGTACTGTATAGTACATCTCTGTATCTTTGTCTTATGAACAAGTTTCTACCTGAAGATTGGCTCATAACAATACATTGGCAGTGTTTGGCTTTACCACCACCCATATGTCAGCAAAGATTTTTTTTATAGAGTTAAGGACCAGAATGCACCTGACTCGCTGACTTCAAATGATGTGAACCCGGTCCACTGCAGCACTGATTCTCTTTTTCAGAGTAACTGGCGGAGAATTATTCGACCGTATCGTGGAGAAAGGTTCTTACACAGAGAAAGACGCATCTGGTCTAATACGGCAGGTTCTAGAGGCTGTTGACTACATGCACGACCAAGGTGTTGTTCACAGAGACCTCAAGGTAAGTGACAGTTTTGGCTTGAGGAAAAAAGTGACAGGAAATTAAAGTTACAAATAATATTTACCCTGTATATACCGTAGGCTGGATAAAGCAAAGTGTTAAAACATACACCATTTTTATTATTTTTATTTGTTATTATATTAGCATAATGTGTAGGTTAGGGTATGGCAACTTTTGTTTTGTGACTTAGTATGACTTCCTGCCACTTTTTTCTGATTTTTTCTGATTTTTTCTATGACTTTTTGACATTTCCTGCTACTTTTTGTGAATTTTTTAGATTTACTGCCGCCTTTGAGGGTTGGGGCTGGTTAATGTGTTTCATTCCATACTGATCCAAATACTGTAATGTAATGACTGTAGGTTTTTCAATATTTTGTACAGGATATATTTTTTAAGTGCCATCCTTTTAGTGGAGGGTTGGTGGCCACACTCTTTTACTAGATATTTTCAGACTGGCTTTACTGTCACATGGTCAATATGTACTGTTGTATGGTCAGTGCTGTTGTATAGTTAGGCGACCTGTGGTGTAATGGTCAGCATGCTTGTCTCGCAAGCAAGTGGACCAAGGTTCAATTCCTGGGCAGGGTTAAACTATGAGCAAGTAATTGGGGACCTGGATGTTAATCGATTTGCGGATCGTGTTTTGGGGTAATGGTTAGCCAGTGCAGTAGTCTGGTCTTCTCGAATTATTCCTTGACACTGGTTTATGCAACTCGTTAACTTAGGGTGTGGTTGTTGTTTTGGCGACATCTTTTACACCTTAAACAAATTCACGCTTAGGTGGCCCTTGGGTCAGCTGTCGTCGAACATGAGGGGTAACTATTTTTATTATTATTATAGTCAGTGCATGTACAGTTGCGGACAAAAGTTTGCTCTCCACGATGAAACCGAGTTACTGGAATGAGTTTCCGAACTGACTTGCCCTGACTGTTGTATCTCGTTTGTGGTCAATGCTGCTTCATTTTGGGAGGGAGCGAACTTTTGACCCCGACTATACAGTGCTGTACTATTGTAAGGGCCAGAAGTATGGACACTTTCAGCAGACACCTAAAGGAGGTTAGAGGCCTTTGATGTGTTGTGGTGCTGTACAGGAGGATGCTAAATATAAGTTTCATTAACAAGATACCCCTGTACACCCAGTCCCCAGATCTATGTTTGATTTAAGAAAAATTCCAGACTATGACCACATTCTCCTGATGATCAAATTGGCCATAAAACCTCTCAACGTTCACCTTTAACCAACCAAAGTTTTCTCCTCGTCCGCCAGAGATCCACTAAACCGAGTCACTTTTATCTCACAAATTTCATCTTTGAAATTTAAACTTTCTGGATCACCTGAAGATTAGACACTCCAGCATATTTCATGTGAAGATAAACCACTTTTACATTTCTTGAAGTAAAATAAGCTGAGGTGTCTAATTTTCAGGCAATCTCACATTAAAAAAAAAAGAATATTATGATTAATTACAGTATCAGTTTTCTAGCAATTGAATCTCATGATGGTTAAAACTCTATAAATAAGAACAGACTTAAGATTGTTATACAGGAGCTCCTCTACTTATGAATGAGTTACATTCCTGAGGCTTGTTTGTAAGTCCAAGTGTTTGTAAGTCCAACTTGACTCCCTTACATACCAAACATATTGTAAAAAATCAAAAGATTATGTATATTTAGTAAAGCTATACCCTTTAATACAGCCTTAAAACCTGGCTCACTCTTCTCCTCTTAGGTAATGTTTGTTCTATCTGGAATTTTCTTCAAAATAATCCAGTCTCATCCACATTAAACACCTGTTCTGGCAGGTAACCTCCCTTAGTGATGATGTTTGTATCTCTGAAAGTTTGTAAGGTGAACGTTCTTATGTAGAGGAGCACCTGTATTGTGATCTGTGTTCTGTACTGTGTTATGACGATAGGTTAGAAAACTGTATGCATTAGTTGTAAATAAAAAATGGTACAGGTATACTGTATTGTCAATATTTATCAGAGATATGTTTCCCAGGCAATATTTTAGTTACCCTGAGTTATTAATTTTCTGCAATTCATTATTTCTATGAGAACTGATCTGTGTGTCTTGTAGTTTAGTGAAATTTTTATCAAACGAGAAACACCTTTTTTTTATTTTTTTTTATTGGATTTATGGTACTTTTTACCTAACCTAATCTTACCTAATCTAATTTGAGCTAATAAAACCTGACCTGATCTAACCGAACTAATCTAATCTAAACTAAGCTTACTTGGTCTTGCTATGGTCCAGTGAAGGCCATCCCCCATTGGTCCAGTGTTAGTACAGAAAGAGGCAGGAGAACTTGGTGTTAAAATGCTATGTAGTATTTGGTAGTGCCACACATTCTGCTCAAAGAGGAATCAAACCCAAGTCACATTGATAAGAGTTGAGAGGAAAGTACCGAATACAGTGGCAGCATTACCATTTTATCATCTTTGTTTATTCTTCCTTAATAAAATTAGACAGATCAGTAATGGCTTGTTTTTGGGCTGTAACAGTTATTTGCACTTTTTTCTCCAGACAGTTTTGTGATGAAAATCTGCATACACTATATGAAACACATTTTCCTTTATACAGTTTATCTGATAAATGTACTGTATGGTTTACTTGTGAGTGGTGTCAAGTAATACTAAATGGCAAAGAAAATCAAGAGTAAAGGAGTTGACAGTGTGACATGAGCTACAGCGTACTCATGTGATTTAGGTTGTGTAACTGTCGGTTCAAGAATAATGTATATTTGCTGTAAATACAACTTATTAAATTACTGCATAATTGTTTTGTATCATAGTACCCCTTCTTTTGGAGATACTGTGTTAATGATTATTCGTTTTCAGCATTTTCACACTGAATGAAATTGGACGATGAGCAAATAGAGGCAGGTTCTCTTGTTTATTATACATTACTTATACAGATGATTCTGTTTACCACAGCCAGAGAACCTTCTGTACTTCAGTCAAGATGAAGACAGCAAGATAATGATCAGTGACTTTGGCCTCAGTAAGATGGAGGATTCTGGCATTATGGCAACAGCATGTGGCACTCCAGGTTATGTAGGTGAGTTGATTATTATTATAATTATTATTATTATTATTATTATTATTATTATTATTACTGTATTATTATTACTGTATTATTATTATTATTATTATTATTATTATTATTATTATTATTATTATTATTATTATTATTATTATTATGCCCCATCGGCAAATGTTTAGGTGTATGTCTATCACTCACACCAATTGTTAGTATCAAGCACATGTTAATAGTTCTTAATACATAATTGTAGGTGAACCAAAGATAGTGAAATGATATTAAATTTTGATGGATAATATTCATCTGGTAGTAGAGGTTATTATTCCATTCTCTGCTGTCTTGTAGGATATAGAAATAGGTTTCCTCCATACAGTATTTATATTTGTCTCTGTCTGGTTGTGTTTCATTTTCTAAGCTTAGGTCAAAACAATTAAATACGGTATATAAATAAATGATTATGTACAGATTGAGCCTGTGGTAAAGAGATGCCTTTTGCTGAAAACGATGCTCTTAATTTTTAGTATTACAGGTTGTACCTCTCTAGTCCGGCATTCTGTGGTCCGGAAACTCTCGTGGTCCGGAACGATTTTGGTTTGTCCAATAGGTAGATAGGCAGTTTTTTTTTTTTTTTTTTTTTTTTTTTTTTTTTTTTTTTTTTTTTTTTTTTTTTTTATATATATATATATATAACTGAAGTGAATTATTATTACAGAGTATTAAATTTTTGCCCCTCAGGCCCCAATGTGGGTCAGTGACCTATGCCCGGGTGGGCTAATCCCCTTAAAAAAAAAAACAACAAAGCCGCGGAAATTAAGGTTTGTTTACATCCGGCAGTTCGGCTGCTCTCTCTCTCTCTGCTTGTCTATACAGAGTACAACATTTAACCCTTCAATATATATGAGCAGTAAATAAGTGTTGCTTTCATATTCTTATGTAGAGTAATGACGATATGTTTTCACATGTGCACACTTACATACGCGCAGTCTCACTTTTTTTTACCATTAATGGTTAGCTACTTATATTGTTCCATTTATTAACATTAAATAACATTACAGGTACTTCAAACAACCATATTAATTTCTTTACATTAATTTTACTACAGCTAAAATCAGGGTCTTATTTTCTTCAGTTTTATATGTAGAACCAATCAGTCGCTGGTTTCGTAAGCTTTAACATAAACAATGCCGGCAGCCGTCTCGTCACCTCTAATATTCGACGTATTATTAATAAATTGTATTGTTAATTTTGCACACGCACACATTAATTCAATAAAAACAAATTCAGAAACATTAATTGAAATATATATGAACAGTAAATAAGTGTTGCTTTCATATTCTTATGTAAAGTAATGACGATATGTTTTCACGTGTGCGCATGCGCACTTACATACGCGATCTCTCTTTTTTCTTTACCATTATCGTTAGCTACTTCTATTGTTCCATTTATTAACATTAAATAACACTACTTAAAACAACCATATTAATTTTACTACAGCTACAACCAAGGTCTTATTTTCTTCAGTTTTATATGTAGAACCAGTCAGTCACTGCCTTTGTAATCAACGAAAACAATGCGGTGTCATTTCCTCGTGTGTTTTAATATTTTACGTATTATTAATGAATTGTATTGCTCATTTTGCACACATAAACATTAATTCAATAAAAAAGACATTTAGTAATAAACAATAATGAATCTTTTGTACATAAGAGAAATGACGCTGTTTACACGATTATGCACGTCGGTTGCACGTTGGCGGGCCGTTCAAACCCGTCGAAATTCAAGTTTCCGCCGTCAAATTTTTTTATATTTATTTTTTTGTGTTTTCCAATAAAATACGTTAAGAATTAAAAACTCGTGAAATTTGAGAAGCTACTATACGACATTTAACCCTTCAATATGTCTTCAAAGAGACCATGATGCAGAGAAAGTGGTGCTAGTGCTTCCAAGCATAAGCACAAGTCACTATCTATCCAGGAAAAGGGTGAATTTCCATGGTCCGGCACCGGTCAGGTCCCGAGGTTGCCGGACTAGAGAGGTACAACCTGTACTGTATTTTCATAGGTAAAAATAAAAACAACACTTATCTTTTCTTATACAGTATTATCTTTTATTTTAAGTCTGTTCTATATGCATGAAGTACAGTACAAGAGAGGCTACTTTTTCTACAGTATACAGGAGTTGATACTTGATTTATGTGAAATAAGTCTTTTTGTGTGACTTCCTGTAGTAGTTATGTCTTGTGTGCTTGATAAAGCTACAGTACCTCCATACAAATATTTAAAGGCACTTGGTAGAGGCCACGGGCCACCTGAGACTTCTGAGTCCAGGAAAATACTCTTTAGGTAATATGAAATACAGTACAGTATCACTTTATATTGTGGGAAGAGTGGTGGTCGCAGGGGGAGTCCTTGCCCTGTGATCCATTTGAGGCTACAAACTTCATGACCATTTTGAATTTTTTGTCATAGTTAAGTGATTACTTGGAGGAATAGGTTGAACACACATGTGAGTTTATTTAGCATACCGTATTATGTATATTATAAATGTCCCTGTACTAGTTAGAAATGCTTTCACTATTATTTGGTGTGTAACAAATAGAGCAATATGTATATTTTTACTCAGTTTAATGCAGGGTTGGCCGGTTTAAACTTTGGTTAAAACCAATTTAAACCTAAAAAAAAATTAATCTGTCTTTTTTCTTGTTTTAATATTTTTGGTTGGCTTTATTACTTACAGATGTTTTTAATGATTTATAGTGGATTTGGAAAAGGCATATGACAGGGTGAACAGAAAAGCATTGTGGGAGGCATTACAAGTGTATGGGGTGGGAGGAAGAATATTAAATGCAGTAAAAGCATTCTGAGAACAGCAGGACAACAGTAAGAGTAAATGGGAAAGATAGCAAAACATTTGAAATATATTGTGAGTGTTAGACAGGGATGTGTTATGTCCCCATGGTTGTTCAGTATATACATGGATGTGAACTATTGTACACTGGTGACAGTGGTGGTGATAAGCTCTCTTACAGGGCTGAATATAAGGGAGCCAAGTTGCCACCGTTCAATATAACTGGTGACTGCTTATGTTTATGGCTGGGCTCTGAGCCTCTGATTCTAACGTGTTAACATATTGTATTATACTGTGTGTGTGTATATATATATATATATATATATATATATATATATATATATATATATATATATATATATATATATATATATATATATATATACATATACATACATACACATACATATATATTATTAGACAAGTCTGACTGCTCACAAGCCTCGCTGGAACAGTTTTAGTGAAATACAACAAGTTCAGGACTGTTTAGTATCCCTGGTGGTCCAGCGGCATGCCTCGGTCACAGTCATAGGCTTGTGTGCCTCAGGTTCAATCTCATGGTTGGAGGTGTTGATTGTATGTAGAAGTCCGCGTGCTTTTATTAATATATATATATATATATATATATATATATATATATATATATATATATATATATATATATATATATATATATATATATATATATATATATATATATATATATATATATATATATATATATATATATATATATATATATATATATATATATATATATATATATACAGTGGTCCCTCGGTTAACGAACACAATCCGTTCCAGCAGGTTGTTCGTTAACCGAAAAATTCGTTAACCGAAACCATTGTTTCAATGGGTTTTTGGGTAATTGGTTCCAGCTCACCGAAAATTGCCTATATTCAACAGAAATGGTAGAAAAGTTCACTTACTTTGAGGTGTGTATGTAGAAGGCTCCTGGATGATGATGATGATGATGGGAATTAGAATGGGGGTGGAGGAGAAGGAAGAAGAGAAGGCATTGGGGTGGAATACAAGTCACCCCATGGCACCATTTCACCCATAAAATTTTAGTTCTCTTGGTGTATTTCAAGATTATTTTCTTTAAATCAACACTGCACTGCATTATATATTGTCAATATGTAAAATATATTTCAAAATGACCAATAATTTGCTTGGAAACAGAAAAAAAGCATTTAGTTGTAGAGAGTCTCAAGCAAGATGTTACCTCCAGTGAAAAGAGAGAGAGAGACTAACGCCTGTTTGCTGTGTTAAGAGGCTGGATGCCACGCATTAAACTAGTCACTTTACCTTCAATTATGTTCAATAATTGTTAAAATGACTAAAAAATTGAATATTAAACTTTTAAAATTATTGAATAGTATAAACTTCTTGATATTTACTAAAATAGTAAGAAATTTAAGCCCTAGAACCGATTAATGTTTTGGCGGACTAATACTAAAGCTGGTTGACCGGCCAGTGCAAGCGAAAACATGTTGAGGTCGGTTCGTAAGAAATTCGTTAACCGAATTTAAGAATCTTATGGGAGGCAGTTCGTTAACCGAAATTTCGTTGACCGAGGGACCAACACACACACACACACACGCACGCACGCACGCACGCACGCACGCACACAGTATATATAATATATATATATATATATATATTTGTATATATATTATATATATATATATATATATATATATATATATATATATATATATATATATATATATATATATATATATATATATATATATATATATACATATACACATACACACACACACACAGTCATGCGCCGGTTAACGTCCTAGATACGTTCTTGGAAACGTGATGTTAACCGAAATGGACGTTGTCCGAAATTACATAAACCTATCAGATTTATTCTAATGGGGGTTCCAGGCAGCCAACCCCAAGTTTCCCATTTTACAACCATTTAGACCCACTAAATATATACTGTATAATGTTATGGTAAATATCATAAACACACATAGGCATGGCTAGGTTTGTTACAAATTGATGAAAAGGATAATGTAAAGTGGGTAGTCCACAAAACATGTAGCTATGTCTCTCTTTATTTGTGTGCCCCGTCAAAGAAGTCCGTTTTCTCTCATTTCAGGACGCCTGAGTGGTCCGTTTTCTCTTAATCTTAGAGTGCATCACACCAGACACTTATTTATTCCTTAACAATGGCACAGAATTTGAAATTGCAACTGGGGTTGCAATTGTTGAGGCAACTTAGATATGTCTGATTACAGTTGGAATATTCAAGATCCATTGTGAGTGATGTTTAAAGCTTCAACTGTCTTTATGGTTGGTAAAACTTGTCAAGGCTGTCAGTCTGAGTGGCATGTGTGAGGCCTTGTGTTTGTACAACCGCTAAATATATAAATATATAATGTTATGGTAATTATCAGAAACACACATAGGCATGACTAGGTTTATTACAAAGTGATGAAAAATATATCATCAATACTGTACAGTGGGTAGTCCACAAAACATGTAGCCATGTCTCTTTATTTGAGTGCCCCGTCAAAGAAGTCCGTTTTCTCTCACTTCAGGACTCCTGAGTCGTCCGTTTTCTGTTAATCTTAGTGTGCAGTACACCAGATACTTCTTTATTTCGTAGTAATGACACAGAATTTGAAATTGCAACCCCAATTGCAACTGGAGTTGCAATTGTTGAGGCAACTAGATATGTCTGATTATAGCAAATGTGTTATTGTCAATTTGTGGGTGAAAGATTTTATCCTCAATAGATGTAGGTTAACATTACACCTGCAGGCAAATGTTTAAAAAAAGCCTAATCAAGGAAGCATATTCTTTTAACACATAATACCTGACCAGTATGGGGAGGATCATCGTGTCTCCGTCAGGGGATCGTGAAATGGTGGTTTAGCAGGCGTCACGGATTTTTGGGGGACGTATATGCGATCGTACGTTGTTCGGTCGGACGTTAACCGGCGCATGACTGTATATAATTTTCCATGCTTTAAGATGAACTTAAATTAGCATGTAGGTTGAGTTTTGGTGACTGATCAAAGCTTATGTTTTTCAAGTGTAGCCTTTGTACAGTGATTTCTGTGATGAAGAAGAGTATAAATGATTACTAAATCATCCTGAATGTAATGTTTATGAATAATAGCACATTCAAATATGAAGAAAAAAACGGGCTACATATACTTACGTCAAACTTAATAAAACTAACAATTATTCTCCACCCTTCTTTTAACCAATTGTTTTTCCCAACCCTGGTTTTTCAAGGCCACTTTTTGGTGTTCGTGTGTTATTCTGGATGTACAGTACTTGATTTCAATTCCGAGAAAAAGTGTTTTCTAGCGCCAATTACTCGCTGCATGGTTTTTTTCTTCATTTAAACGATCCTTAAGATTTTTAGGAGCTATTAGTGTACACTACTGTGCGTCAGAGATTGACATAACTATGGTTTGTTGATACTGTATACTGTATTGTTATTATTTTTAACACACTAATATGAACTCTTCCTCTGAGAAGAATTATTTCATTATTTTCAGTACAGGTATCCTCGCTATATGAATGGGTTTGGTTCCTTGAAAACCATTATTTAACCCTTAAGCCACAATTAGGGTCTAGCTGGTAGTACCCCCCAGTGGGGATAAATTTATAAAAAATCAACTTAATAAATAAATGAATTAAAAAAATGGTAGGAATAGGCTGCCGTTCTGGAACGTCACCCGGGGCCTAAGGGTTAAGTAAATACTATACTTAGTATATCGAATAACAAAACACAAGGGAAAAATAAGGTTTGCTTCCCCAATAACAGGAAAACCCCAATGAAAAAAGTTTGAATCATTTCTCAAACGAAAGAAAAGCCTACTTAACTACTGTAATTTGTCAATGGACACGTTAAAAAATTAATAAAATATAAATTTGGTACATATTCGTATAAACAAGAATAGCTTTTGTACAGTACAGTATACAGTATTGAAAAAGGTGTAAGAATAGAATATTCATATCAGCAATTATTCCTAGAATGAACGTTTGTACTGTATGGCGAAGGATAGCTGTAATTATTTCTTTATTACTAATCATTATGTATACAGTATACAGTATTGAAAAAGGTGTAAGAATAGAATATTCATATCAGCAATTATTCCTAGAATGAACGTTTGTACTGTATGGCGAAGGATAGCTGTAATTATTTCTTTATTACTAATCATTATGTAATTTTTTCAGCTCCAGAGGTTTTGGCACAGAAGCCCTATGGGAAAGCTGTGGATGTCTGGAGTATAGGTGTGATTGCTTATATTCTTCTATGTGGTTATCCTCCTTTCTATGATGAAAATGATGCCAATCTATTTGCACAGATTCTTAAAGGTAAGAGATGTCCTAGATATATTTTAGTGATTTTGTACTACTGTATTTCATTGGGACTCTCTGGGTTAGAATATCTAGGAGCCCCACTAAACTATCAAAGTCCCAGCAGTCATGCTTTAAAATATAGGGGTCCATCTTGTTTTTGCTCTTGAATCCCATTATTATTATTATTATTATTATTATTATTATTATTATTATTATTATTATTATTATTATTATTATTATTATTATTATTATTTCTTAACTACAATTCCACATTCCTGCAGGGATCTCTTCTGTTTGGGGCTAGTCATGACAAAAGAGCCTCTAGGCTACCCTATTACTGTACAGGGGGTCCCCAACTTACGAAAATCTGCCGATACGAATGAGGTCCCATAAAGTTAAAGACAAAATTACGGAGATTAGCCCACCCAGACACATACAACAACACATTATGCTTTCAAAATCTTCCCAGCCAGTAATACCTCCCAATTTGATAGTTGTGTACTCCTTACTACATTTACCAGATGAGATTTTTTTTTTATTATTCATTATTTCTTACCCCTTCCATTCTGGTATCTTTGCATGCAACCCTCAGGTAACTCATCTCAGTAGCTTGAACTTTAGAGCATTCCAATCAATTCTTCACTGATATAAGTTAAGGAAGGAAGTATTATACTGAGGTTCTTCTGTAGCTTCCAACTTGTGGTACAGAAGTTGTCAAGTCCTGTCATCAGCCCTCTCAGTACTCTTGCATCCTTCACATGCTTTCTATTCCTTGCATCTACTTTTATGTTATTATTCTAGGACTGATGTACTTAATGCTACCTCATTCCTTCTTCTCCCAGGTGTATTTGTGTATACCGGTATCTATACCCAGAGAAATTTCAAGGAAAGAATTTTTCCACACATAAACTTCCATTAAAAAAAAAAATCTGCCTTTGACTTCTCTCCCCCTCCCAACTACCCTAAAACATTTGCCTTACTCACTTCTCCTAATTTTACATTCATATTGCCTCACATTTATTTTTGACCAATCACTCCTGCCACCTGATGTCTCTCAAGTTCCTAAGATTTCATCTATGAAATTTTTAAATCTCTCCTTTTTGCTACTTCATTTATCCCATTCATATTAAATTTTTTTTTATCAATCTTTATTTAAAGTCAATACATTTCTGTCAATCTTTATTTAAAGGTCAGTACATTTTTGTCAAATTTCAGAATGTAAATATACCATGCTTTACTATATTTGTTTAATTCCTTTAGGTGAATTTGAATTTGACTCTCCATACTGGGATGAAATAAGTGATTCTGCAAAGGACTTCATTCGTCAGTTGATGTGTGTTGATGTTGAGAAGAGGTACACCTGTAAGCAGTCTCTCAATCATCCTTGGTAAGTCAATATGAGTCGTCTCTCATCAAACATACGAGATACCGGTAAATTCTTTTGTTTACAGTATTTATTTACCGACCACAGACCAATAACAGGTAGAAAAGGTGAGTCAGAGCTACCAGACTTAGGGGAAAAAAGAAAATACTTGTAGTGATAATGTACAAGAAAGAAGAAGGGTCAAATGGATAAATGTATAGTACAGTATTCCCTTAAATCTCTCTGGGATTAATGTAAAATGGACCCCGTGAGAAAGCAAAATCCGCGAGTTTTTCATGCCAGTCCCAGGAGTGTGCAAAATACATATATAAATAGCTATTTGCACATGTATAACAACATTATGTATGCACAAGACAATATAATAAATTTGAAATAACATAAATAAATAAACATACCTGAAATAACATTGTATGGACATTAGGTCCACACAGTGATAGTTAGTAGTGGTAGTGACAATGTAAAGACAATACCTCTGAAATGTCAGGTGATCTGGTGGTGGAGGTATGTAAACAATCCCTGTACTGGACAGTTTCTAGTGAACATGCCCGGTACCAATAAATCTTTGTATTGTGTATACTGTAGGTACCTATACGTATATATTATATCCTTTTGTATTAAATTGGGTAAATTTTCTTAATACTAATACCAACAAATGTTTGATAATGGGTCCATAAAGTGATAGTGAGCTGTGGTAGTGAGAAACATGACAGCATATAGCCAGTGACTTGGCTTTGCCAGTTCAGTAGGCCAGGGGTTCTCAAACCTTTTTCAATCAAGGACCCCTTATATACCATGATGCATACAAATATTGTCAATAATCAAAGAATAAATCATAGTCCAAAGCATTTGTTCATTTCAACCCAAATCCAAAATCTCCTGCGAATTGGAATCGCCAAATCTCTCGCAAACGTTAAATGCACTATTTCTCAAAAACTTTTTGTGGACCCCAGTTTGAGAATCACTGCAGTAGGCTATTAAATCTGCAAAAAAAAATTTTCTCAAATATACCTTGTTAATTATAGGGAGTGTCTTATGACCTGGGAATATGGTGCTCTGTACTGTCCTGTAGTGTTGACTCCTCTTGATCCCTGGCACACAGCCTCAGATTTATTTTATTTGTTTTCCATGGCAATCCGTGAGTTTCCAAGGGACGCAAGCTTTAAAACCGTGAGCTTTAAGGGAATACTGTATTCGTATCATCCTCCTGCTGCAGGCTACAAAGGAACCGGGATTCACCACATTATTTGAGCACTTTATTTATATACAATAGACCCTTGCTGTTTGTAGTTTTACAGTTCACATTTTCATTCCCTAAAAAAGAAGACAAAATTGGTTGGAGATACAAAAAGTAGTTCGATATTATATAAACAGCTCCTTCCCTTTTTATAATCATCCTCTAGGTAATACGAGAGTGGTAAAATTGATTAGCTTAAGATAATATTTTATTAACCCAGCACCAAATGAACCTAAAAATATGGGAATTATGGTGAAATTGCATATTGTTGTTGTAAAGGGATTACAAGAAATTTCCTTTCAGTTTAGCCACTTGCCTTACCTGTGTCACACACAATTTCCTTTCCACTTAATTTTTCTTATTTTATACTTATTGTTCAGTTCTTGTATGATTTCATTGTTTTAGTAATGTTTTCAACACTGTACATGTACTGTATTTAAAGAAAACATACTGTAAGTACCGTATACAGTTGTTTATGGTTGACTCCAGTATATCTCAAACATGAAGTACAAACTGGGTAAGTACACCTATATGGTATAGTATAGTACAATATACAGTAAGCAAGTACTGTATATTGTTATAAGTCAGTACTAAACAGTATGCTGTATTGGTTTAAGTACTGTAAAAAGATTTAATTGTTTTATTAATGTTTTTCACCATTGTATATGTATTTAAAGAAAAACATACAAAAATACCATGTACAGGTGCATTTATGGGTGAATCAAACATACAATACTCTGGCCACCAATACTTTTGCTGGGCTCCATGGAACCTAACCCCCGTGAATAGCAAGGGTCATTTATCTATCTCACTAAGCTGGTGTACTGTATTAGTGAAAATTCCATTTCTATCTGCTTTTCCTCTTGTATACACAATGGCATCTCTGTTTAGGTCATGGTATAAGTGCTAATATAATGCTTAAATTGAGTTGCTCTCCATAGGTAATATAGTTAACTGGTTATGACCGAGTGCTTACCGTAATTGAACATGCACCTTTTTTCAGGATTTCTGGTAATGCAGCCAGTGACCGAAATATTCACAGCTCCGTATCTGAACAACTCAAGAAAAATTTCGCAAAGAGCCGATGGAGGGTAAATATGACTGAACTGCATGTTTTATTTTATATCTTTTTCTTATTGGAACTCTCTCAAAGACTGTATATAGAACCTTTTGGCAATTACTGTCCATCTGACACTTCCAGGCCTGTCAAGCTCTTGGGGACAAGGCATGTGTTCTACTTTCACTCTCATAACTTGTTAGGGAAAACTAGTTTTGCAAAAAAATAGTGAATTGTGCATTTCTATTAAATTCTTGCATTTTTGTGTATATTAGCATAATTATGTAAACTGTGCCATAATTTTTGTTTGTTTGTTTGTTTATGCTTAATCTTTAAGGGGAAAGGGTTTTAACTGTGGGGACTTGACAGGCCTCTACTTCTGCATTTTTTAATTCACACCAATTTCTTGCCTTGTTGGTGTTCATCTATATTCTTCTCTAAGGTTTGAGGTCGGAGGTCAGTAGGCTGCTATAAAGGTAATGTTTATATTCCCATGATGCCATTGTTGCTCTTTACAAGATCTTCCCAACTGTTGGACTGGTGTCAGGAACATCACTTAATTGTTTTGGTTAAACTTTTAATATATTTGCCCCATTAATAGTAAATGTCAATACTGTTATACCAACAACATGGTTGTCATGGACCTTGTTAACCAGACCTTTGTTCCTTTAGGTAATTACCTTTATTTTTTGTAGGTGTTAAGAATATATATATATATATATATATATATATATATATATATATATATATATATATATATATATATATATATATATATATATATATATATCACATTTAATCATTCTCACTTACTCTATTAGTAGTGAAAATATATATATATTTTTAATTTGTTTTACTCGTATATAAAAGTAAAATGACTGCATGTCTTGCCCAAATGTAATGTAATTTTGTAATTTTCAATTATTATTGTGTGACCGAAACTCAGTGATGCAGTTTAGTATTTAAAAGGCTCTTGTCCAGAAATATTTAAAAGTTGGTGTCACATTAAAGCTACAAGCTTAATCAAAAGCTTATACTGTATTTAGGATATTGTTCCACTCGTGGGATATTTTCTTAATTACACGATTTCTTTTCAAGAATAATTATGTATTAGAAGTAATGAATGTATACCTGTAGATCTTTTTAGGTTTAAAGTTTGTTGCATACAAATACTATATACAATTTAATAAACTGGTGCTGGTTCTGAGTAATCTGTGGACATGTGACCTCACACTTACTGTTACTCTATATACCCCCAGGCCATAGTGTCTGGAGGTAATACAAAGAGCACTCACTCCTCCATGATAACTGTCCCTCATAGTGACAGATTACCGGTCATGGTTTGCCTTAAGACATGACAGTATATCAAGTCATGAGACCACACAGCTCCTCTGTACATGATGTATTTTATGTGAAAATATCATAGGCCATGTTGGTAATAATAACAACATATTCACTCTAGTAAACCATGTTACTGTAGAAAAATGTGTGTGACTCCTCTTCTGGTTTGGAAATAAGCTAGGTACATGCCTTTGTGATACCTTGTGTGGGCTGAACCTTGTGTTTACTGTAGAAGGTAGGAGGGGAGGAATTTCTTCTCTTACATCATTTTGTGAGAGTTTATATATGAAGAGCTGAATCACAGGGTCAGAAGGAGTCATCTTACCTGGTGGTTATAGTCCAGTCTGTTGTCTTGAAGGCGTATTTCCTAGCAGGTTAGGGAGTCAGTCCGAGGTTTCGAAGGTGTTTTTTGATGAGGTATGGGGTAGTAGTATTACAGGAAAGTTTTATTCTGACATCTCTGAATGTTTGGGCAGGTGGTACACACACTATTCTTATTTTAAGGTGAAGTTCACAGTAATTCACACGTTGGGATTGGTCGAGCCTATACATATGGTAATATTTTTTACCAGAAATTACAGTGTACTTTTCCATGTTTTAACCATACGGATAGATGGACCCTTCTGGGGGGCCAGATAAAAGGTGACTAATGTTAGGTTGTTTCAGTGAGAGCAATCAGGAATTTCCCCAGTTCACTAATTTTACAAGTAAGAGTATTTCCAAGGGTCTTCTCACTTAACTCCTTCGAAAGGTATATGAAGTTTTCATTACTTTCAATTCACATAACTAGTTGCTGCATCTTTTATGGGTGACCTCCTTTATTTAGTTGCCTTCTAATTTGTTACTCATCTAAAGGGTATCCTTCAGTTTAGATGAGCCCAGTTTTGGTCTGAATTTATGTCCATGGTTGCTCCATATTTAGATCAGACAGTTTCATGCCTAAGGTCATTTGTATTGTGGTGGTGTTAGGGGTGTTCTCAGTTCACCTTGAGTTGGGAACCATATGTTCTCTTGTTCCGGAATAAAGTGTCACATAGTCAGGGTTTAGAGCTCCTATAGCGGAATTAGGTAGGGTTTTCAAGGTTATTGTGGTTATGAGCACAAATCAGTCTTTAGGGATGAAATATAGGGGTAAACTGGTTCTTCTCTGGGGGAAGGTGAAACAAATGCTGACTTTAAATACTGGGTCACTCAGTGGTAGTAATCCTCCTCCTTCAGTTGGTCAGGGCTTAACTTTCACGGTGATTGTGAAGGTTGTTTGTCTTCTCAGATCCTGTGGGTGCTTTGTTCAGACAATTTTGCTTCAAAACAAGGATGGTCTTACATTGCTTAGATTAAATACTAGAAGAAGACACTTTTGTGATTTGTTTTTAATTTGAAGAAGCTGTTGGTGCCTCTCATCTCCACCAGAGTCATAAGGAATAAAACTGGGGAGAAATTTATTGTACAGTACTTTAATTGACAACACTTGTGATGTGTTTTGTATGAGAAATTATCTTTATTTATGTCCTTTCGACAGTGGAAAGTTGCCAAGTTAGTGTTCACTCTTGAGCTGCCCTCCTGATTGGTCAAGGCAACACACATTTCTAGCATGGGGTGTCTGGACAAGGACATTATGAAGAAATAGTGATGTTATCCAAATATATATTTGAGTAATATTCTTTAAAGAGGGCTCGTTAGGAATTGGTACCTGTTCAGCAGACTCTCATTCAAATGTTTTAAAGTGAGTTCAAAGCTGAGTCGTTCTGAGGAATCTTCATGCTAATAGCAGCCTTGTAGTCTTAACTTGGCTTATTTTCATCTACTGCATTGGCTTGGTCTATACCATAAGTATTTAGGTTTCCTTTTGGATGTTGAATCAGAGGGTAGGTAGGAATGTGCTCTCATGCCCTGCTTCTCATTTTCAAGTTACATTTGTTGATTTTCTAGGCACTCTGGTTAATAAGGTGTGTGTGGGGCATCCTAGTTTTCATGACTTATTAGGTACATATCAGTTGGCATATCTGGGACTTGTCCTACCAGGCCACCTTGCTGGAAACCTTGTTGTGTTCCTAATTAATAAGTCATCATCTTGAGTTGGGGAAATGGTTTCTGGCAGAAAGGGGAGTTTGTGAGGTGTGTGACTTTCTTTTTTATGAGGAAAGGAAATTTCCCACTGGGTTGTTTCCCCACACAATACTTGGAGCATCTTTCCACCTCTCTCATTGATTGTTTACTCCTGATTCGTAGATTGCTCCTCCAAACTTGTCCTGAAACCTATTTTTATCAGAGAACCAGTGAAGGATGCCCCAGATCCAAGATCTAAGATGTCTTCTGGTGTTAGTTAGATTGAGGCGTTTGTTACTCTGAACATAGTGAATATCATTTTCAAATAGGGTGTGAGCTGTGCAGTGTCAGAACTAGTTTTACTGCTAGGGTTTAGGGCAAACTATGACCTCTCATCTTTCATTTTTAGTTATATTCATTACAAGGAATGAGTCATTTTATTATGAATGCTAACTGTCATGGCTTAGGGGCTTATTTGGTGCATTTATTAATGGGTTTCTCACTGGGTCTGTTATGAGATTAAATACGACAGTATACAGTACTGTTGAGTTAATATTGTCAGACCTGTGTTGATGGAAAAATAACAACAGTTAGCACCAGTTCATTTGCTCATTGCTTTTGGGATTACAAGAACTGAATTTAAGCATTTGACTTTGTCTTTCGTTCTTGTCTTTGAAAACCTGTGAAGATCATCTCGGGCCAGAGATTACCATCACTAGCACTCCAAGTAAACTGGCTTTTCCTGAATTATGGGTTCAGTTTATCAGAATATACAGTTCAATTATTTGATATTCAGAAAAACTGTAAAGGATGAAAAATATGAGGTCGGGTGCTAGAGAGCCTCAAGAAGAATTTGGTGAGTTTTTTAATGTTTAGTATACAGAGTATTAATATTTATGGTGCCATGAGATATAATTAGTAACACCTGGTTAACACTTGGTAGACATCCAGGTAGACACCCTTAGTTAGTGAGACTTTGATGGCAAGATTGAGACAGAAGATATAATGTTCATATAAATTATAATTAATGTTCATAAAACTGCTGTCTCCTGCCAGATATCTGACCAGTGATTTTAAGTCATTACAAACACAGATATATCGTATCGACAGTAGTTACCAACACAAATGTGCACTGTTGTTTGCTTCATGATTCAAAAAGCACTTTGAATGTATATTTATATATCTTTCAATATTTTATTTTGAGGAGGGTAGGAATTCATGATAAAAAGTGAGATTATGTAAAAATTTAATGTACCCTAAATTCATTATATGTGGAAGGATGAGAGGAGGCTGAATTTTTGCTCGCAGTCACTCATTTGCAACAGTTAATTCTTTTCAGCAGGTAAATTGGTCAGTTTTTACCCTATTTTGGTATATCAGTTTGATGCAAGAAATGCTCTACTGCTTTTTTAGAAAATTCATGGCACTGCTTAAGATCTCCAGATGTGACAGGGGGCTCCATGGCTGTGCTTGAATATCACAGGACAAACTCAAGAAACAAGGTCTGAAGAAGTGGACTTTTTAATCAACTCTTGAGAACTCTGAGGGTTTGAAGGCATTGTGAGGAGCAAACTTTGAAAGGGCTGTAACTTGTCTCTTGCAGCAACTAATGCATGCAATCGTGATGGTTCACAAGATGCAGCGACTGGCCCTCTCCTCCACGAACATGGTGGTGGACACTCCTCCCGCCTGTCCCTCGATTACGGAGGAGGCAGAGGCGAGGGAGGATGAGGAGGAGGAGGAGGCTGTGGTGAACCCAGGTCAGCCTGCCACCACCCACTAGTCATCACCCAGTATACATGGAACTGCCTCCAAACATAGCCTAAATGTTTTGAATAATGACTTAAATGTTTGCCATAAGACTTAAATGCTTTGCAAGAAGATATGATACTACATAAGTGTTTGCAACCTTGTCTAAATGTTTTATAATACTGCCTTAATGTTTTTTTTTAATACAATATCACATTTGTTTTACAATATATTAATGATAAATGCTATTTAGCAATGGTTATGCAGTACAGTATTATTGAATATGTAGTATTGTGATATCATATATGTTTCTAAACACAACATACATGCTTAGTAGGTCTGCAGTTTGTATCCTGTTATGACTAGTGCTATATACTGTATATTCAAGTCATTAAGGGATTTCTTGTAAAACAGGGTGGGTCATGAAGAGCCTCATTTAAAGACTAAGATTACCTTATTTCCCTGATCAGTCCATTAAGTTACACTTCTTATAAACATATTCCCACACTGCCATTGATAAACTTTTCTCCTGGTTCCACACACACACACACATTTTTAGTCATTCTGACTATCTTTATATTTCCATAGTTCCCTTCTAGTTTCTACTCCTATCCATAATTATGTAGTTCTGTAGACTGTGTCGTTCTTTCTGAATCTTACTCTCGCACCACACAAAATCTGTCCAACTTGCTTTTCATTTGTTAAACACTGCTGGACAGATAGACCCATGATTCCCAAGTACAATCCAATATGTCAAGATGCACTTCTTCTGACCTTAACACATGAAACATCTCAAAAAAATTTCTTATTACATTTTCATGTCAAATTTGGTTAAGGTATTCTTACTTTGAAAATGTGACATCAGTGCTTCCATTTCTTTATTTCCTCTGAAAATTTTATGGAAAGATTTAAAATTATTTTAGTTTTCCATCATTTGTGTGTGTCCCAATCATGTTCACACTGATAAACTAGGTTGTGTTTAATCATAATATGTTTTCCTTTTATACTTATTCTCAAAATTATTTACCACTAGTTACAACTCTTGTACAGTACCAAAAAACCTTATTGTCATTTTCACATTCTTATAGCATGACATCCATTATTAAATCCTTCATAATATTCTTTAATTTCAGAACAGCACAACTTTGATTTTGTGAAACATGTCCTCCCTCTTTCTTACTGGCACAATACATGTATGGTTATACAACTGACCTATCTTAATATAACACATCCTTGTCAACACAACATACCCCTCCCTCAAGTTTAATCTTGATGAATTTATTTGCTCTTACCACACAAGTGCTTCTGTGCATCAAGTACTTACCTCTACCATTTTTTCCCACATCATTCATGCAGCTACCCATAACATAATCTGTCTCTTATAAATATTTCACTCGATAGCATTCTGTAGAATCACTGGGTAATCTTTGACATAGGAAAATTCACATTTTCACTTATAATTTTTCTATAGACTCTGGACACATTTCTGTTTTATGTGAATGTATATTATCAGAGGTTCTTGATTTGGATTTTTTGCTGTGATGTGTGTCTTGAGTAATTGTATCCTCTGTCGAAGATATACTCTGGTAAATTAGGAAAAACGCTTATTTCCTCATAACTTTCTATTGGCTCAGGACTCCTAACAATTTTAGCATGAAAGTGTTTTATGATAGGTCAGAGTTAAAGATCTTGATTTCATGGAATTTAGTTATTTTATGACAAACATTACTTATACTCAATAACTTTCCTTAAACCCAGTGGATTTATTTAAGTTTAGGCATGAATTTGGATTCTGAAAAAGTCTTTCTTGGTACCGTTGGGTATTTGTTACCCCACATAATATTAATCAAAGGTATGGAAATTTTTTGGGGAGCAGGTAGCTCTTGTTAGATCATTCAGTGATGTATACAGAGTGTTTCTCTTTTCTAGTTTATAGGATAGCCAACATTCTCATGATGAAGATGCATGCCATACAGTCACACCCTTTCCTGTGTCTTATCTATCTATACTGTATATCATTGGACATGAAGGATTTGTTTTATTCTTTTTACCACTCCATTACTGCTTATGCTTTGTTAGGTCATACCCTTGCCTGCTTTTACTCATTGGAGCAATACAGTCACTCTATCCATCCAAACTTTTGCTACTCTACTTTTTATAAGTTCTAAACAAATGTCCTATAATTTTTTCAGAAAAAAGTTAATTAATGGCCCTTAAATATACTGCTATATGGCCATCAACCATTATTCATCCAATGGGATTTGTCTTTTGTGACCAACTGTTGTCTTATTCATTGAACATAATGAGGTTGTTCCTTATGACTAGCTCTTCAAATTGCTTTTTGGGTTAAAATCTATATTTGAGTTTTCTCCAGAACTAATGTGTTAACTGAAACAAAATTGGCACACATAGTCAACAGGGTCCAGCTCTTTCCTATTGATTAGGGACTATTGTTAGAAGTATAGCAGTCATTGGCAGCTCTTTACTTTATATAACAGTTTAGTGGATAACCCTCTTTTTTTTGTTTCCTTTTGAAATAATTGAACTAATTGAAGCCAAATTTGATGCATACGAGTTATATGATGGTTCAGTTGGCAAAGGGACGATTTTAAGTTAAAGAAAATGTGACATCCATAAACCAGTCCAAGATGAACATATTCTTAGCTCATGTTATTGATGGCTTTTAGCTGCAAAAATTGGATAATTAAATTTTTTGGAATGGCATTATGACATTTAGAAATGTATCTTGCAAATCCTGTAGGCACTGTAGTGGAACCCATTGAGCTGATTGTTAGCACTTTGAGTATGGGTATTCCTTTTGGCAGTTTATTGTTAATTTTTCTCTGGTTGGCCTCTGCAACAGTCAGATGTAACACCTTGTTTTCAACCCTTTTCCCAGAAAAGAAAATGAACTGATTGGAATAAAAGATGACACATCTTTGAGGCATTTAAGGTTGTTTTTAATAAAGTAAAGGTGTATGATCCATGTGGATACATCATTCACCTCCTGTCTGCAAAGTCACTGTTTTGTGCCCAGGGTGCCCTCAGTCCACCCAGCTGTGAATGGATACTTGACTTTACATTTGGAGAAGTGAAGTTGTTACGTACAGTGCTGGCCACACAGCCTCCATGTGTACCAAAGGTTTAGTGTTCATTGTGCCATATCTGCACTGCCCTTAACTAGCCATCAGGCCTACAGGACCTACTTTCAAGAAAGATGTTAGTATATTAAAAGAAAAATGCCAATAAAAGCAGAATTCTTTTCAAATAAAGGACATCAGCTGCAAATACACAAGTCCATAAGTTTTATTCTGTGACAGTTTGAATTATTACAGTATGAATATATCTTATATTCCATCAAACTGTGTAAATCCATTGACACCCATTGGGTGTCTGAAAAGTAATCTACTTGGATGGTAAACAAGTAGAAGAATAGCTACATTGTAGTCAGTATTTCAATTGATGATTTTCACTTAACAAAATCTGGCTTGATACATTTTGAGAAACCCACGAGTATTAGTTCACCTGTGTATTATTATGAAGATGCTTAGGCTGGATAGTAAGACAAGACAACCATATCTAAGAATCCTGGACACTAAACAAAATTGTGACTTGGTATTTATTTTTAGAGTAGTGTACGTATTTGGTAAATAATTAAACCATATTATGACCATGTAAGAGCATATGAACACCACCCTATTTATGTGAACTAAATTAATATATACAAAAATGTAAAACAGTTACATATTACATTTTTATTAGAAAGAAAGGCTATGACTAAATGGGAGGAAAATAATATTAAACACTAAAAGAAAAATAAATTGTGAGTGCATTAAATTCACCAAAACTATGTCAAAATTGTATGAAATGGAGGCAGTTTCCTTTTTGCCCTCTGGTGCTTAAGTACTTAACATCACAAAAGTGTATGGATGACTTTTCTGTGCCAGTATTTGACTTTGTTTATCCAATACTTTCAGATGAATATAGTATTTCCTGTTGGTACTTTTATTATCTGAAAGGCAGTGTAAATAAACAAGATCATTAATCATTGTCACTACATTGCATCCGTTAGTCTAACTCTGATAGATCACTATGCACAATATGTTGTTTAACAAAGACAAGTAGAAGACTCATTCTTTGAATTACAATGTTATTGTACTCATAGTGCATCATTATTGTTAGACTGTATTATATAGTTGTAGAAGCAAAGTAACATCACAAGCAGTAGTTAGAGAAGCACCAGGGTGCCTGGCGTGGTGGCTGTGGCTTTGTGTTAGATTAGGTTGTTGTCTGCCTACGCAGTCATGCCGCATCTTGAGGGGAATGGCAGTCCAGACCCCTCTGGCTTACACCAAGAAGGGTTTGTTGAAGCTGCATGCATCTGTAGCACCAAAATGCCTGTTAGTGTAATGCTGTGACTCATAATAGATATTTAGAATCTACCCTTTCATATGAATTGACAATAGTGAAAGGAATTACACTGTATCTACTTTTATATCCATTGATGATTGGCTTCATCATATTTATATACTATATATGACTAGTAGTGTATTAACATATTATTAATAACAATACAATATGAAAGTTCTCTCTCTCTGATTGTGAATTATGTGAAATAGATTCTAAGTAGTCTAGAGTGGTGAGTGTCACACATGTAAGCATCCCTCTCCTCTGGCAGTAGGAAGGTACCTTTAGTTTAGTGAGTGTGAATAGTCAATGAATTACCAGAAAATCTGATTTCTTAAACTCTCTTTAAGATCACATTAAGTACATGTATAATTCTCGTGAACTGTCATGAAATACAAGATCATTTGCAAATTACTATTACAGTTAATGATAGACTGACACTGTGAGGAGTACCATGTCTACTCCTTACTCTAGAAGATTGTGATGATGTTCGAATCCATTTTTTTTTCAACACTCCAGTATTTTTCATTTCTTAGAAGAGTGTCAACATTTTTTAATGTGTATAGGCTGTGTTTTTTATTTTTCAAAATGGATGGTTATCTTG